GAGAAATCACCCCCCGGGGGGGATGGTCACGCCGCAATCCCTGCTCCTCTTGGGATCTTGGGCACGCACGCACACGTGCCCGGTGTGAGTTTTAAGCCACCGGGTCCAGGACGAGAACCGCGGTCAACTACGTGGGAGTCCAGCAACATAGCCACTACGCTAACTGCTGGTTCCCATTGTTCCGCATTATTAACATAAACCTTTCCTGTAACCCCACCCCTCGGCCTTCCCCGCCTACCTTAGGCAGCACACTCACACCCAGGCACTGAAGAGGGGCAGCCGCCCGCCTTCAGGCTAAAATCCACACTCCTCAGCATGACCTTCAAGGCCACCACAACCTGGCCCTGCAATCCTCCTCCTCCCCACTGCCCCCCAGGCAAACCCACCCCAGGCTCCTCCAAAGTCATCCCCATCACCCTGAGCACCTTCCCGCCTCGGCGCCTTCACTGCCTCTGCCTGGAACTCATGGCCCAGTTTAAATGCCACGTTGGAAAGGCGCCTCCTCGGCCCTCCCCGTGCCCCAGAGCTCGGGGCCATCCCGGATCTTCCTTAGCACGCCCTCCACTCCAGCGGACATGGCTTCGGCTTCGGTCAGCACAGCAGCCATGCCCCCTTCCTTCGAGAACAGAACCCCAGCTCTCCCTGGCTATCTGTGGGTCCGGTTCCATGGTAGAACATTGATCCGGATGGAAGCCAATCAGAACCCTGCATTGTAGTGGGTGGCTCAGAGCCCGGGAGGGGACCCAAACACGGGGCACACAGTGAAACAGCAGCCGGGCCGCTGGCACCCAGGCCGGTCCTCTTTTTTGTCAGCCTTGAATCTAGGGAAACGAGAAGCTGGCATTACAGTGGCATTACTGCGCATTACTGTGTCGCATGGATGAAACCACTCTGTGACAGGAACCGCAGAGAAAGAAGAGCCGACGGCTGCAGAGAGACACATGGGATTTCGGGATTTCGGCGACATCCTCCGACTCCTGGAGAAACCCAGACCTGGATCCACGGTTACCCGGGACTTTTCTGTGAAATTACCCAACTAATTCCCTCTTATCCTAGGTCAGGTTAAGTTGCTGTTTGTCACTGCTGAAAAGGTTCTGACGCTTGTAGTCATAAGCACTTTACCATTTATGTCAACTACCATTTTACCAATTAACACGGTATCATGAAGTTTCCTCCTGTCCCGGCGGGATGTCGTGACCTAATAAGACATATTTGGTCTGTGTTCCTCGTTCCTAGCACAGAGCTCCTAAAATCCACATTAGTTTCTGGAACGATAGGGATGGTAGAAGCACCTTGTGGAATAATATTTGGCCTTAGTCCCCAGTTCCTGCCACGAGAACTTCTGAGATCCTAGAAATCTCTGGAATGACAGGAGGGCTAAGAGTTGACTGGCAGCTGGGCTGAGAGGTCCCCAGGGACTTCAGGATGGAAGCTGATCCCCAGAAAGACAGTGAATGAGGAGAGGGTTGGGCTTCCACATCTCCGATACCAGAGGGAGAACGGGCAGAGACTGAGTCAGCAGTGACCAGTGACCTAATCCGTCGGGCCCGAGTGGCGGAACCTCCATACAGCCCCACTGACGGGTTCAGAGAGCTCCCGGGCTGGTGAGCACACGGAGGTGCAGGGAAGGTGGTGCACCCAGAGAGGGCGTGGAGGCTCCGAGCCCTTTCCCCCACATCCTGCCATGTGTGATTCTTCCATTCCTCTGTTTGAGTTGTATCCTTTATTTAGAAGAAAAAAAAAAGAACAGCAATAACTAGAATCCTCTGGAGTTCTGGGGTTCATTCTAGCCAAACACTGAACCTGAAGAGGGGGTCGTGGGAATCCCCCTTGATAATCTGTATGTAAGATGTACAGAGTGGAGTCAGTCTTGTAGTACTGTGGACTGACATTAATCCCAGGTGGACAGTGTCAGGATTAAGCTGAACTGAAGGACACCCTCGTGGGGATAGAGAATCAGCTGTATAGGCGAAAACACCCACACACGTGGTGTCGGCGGTGTTCTGAGTACAACTAGGTCACCCGCCCATCTCCAGACTATGAATTTCTGGAAAGCCTGAACCAGCATGACTTGTGCCTACATTCTCAGAGTCTGGTACAGGGCCTGGCCACTGTGACAATTATCAAAGGGCAAATGTCCCCAATCCACATTTTCTTTCCTTTTTTTTTTGTTTTTAAGGTTTTTGCTATAGGGCATGTGTGCTTGAGTGAGAGGGAAAGTGAGAACTAACGCTCCCAGGGGGATGGCCACACCACGCGGAGTCCCGTCTCCTCCACTCTCCTCCTGAAATTTTGGGCATGCACACACATGCACCTGGTGTGATTTTCAAGCTTTCGGGTTCGGGATTTGAACCTCAGTCATCCATGTGGGAGTCTAGCACCTTAACCATTATGCCATCTGCTGCACCCCCCTCCCAATCCACATTTTCAGCTGAGATAGACTCAAATGCTCAAACGCTGCTGTCGATAATGGACCTCACTTGGTCGAATATTGAAGTCACTTTTCCGAAATGGGCCTGGCCTCACCAATCCCTCACCGCACACTGATTCTGCACATACACACAAACGGCCCTCACATACACCTCTACACACCGTGCTTTACACACACACGGACACCTTCCATAGACACACGCACCCTCAGACACGCATAAACCCCTCAATCACACGTAATCCCCTACACACACTCTCCATAGGTGCAAATGCACATTCGTATACACACACACTATCAAGTGCAGATGTACCGTAAATACATCTTTATATATGCATTCTCAGGTTGCAGTGTTGATAACCGGCCAGTAAAAAACACACATCACACATTACACACTCTATACACGTGCATACAAACACAGGTGTACCCCTAAGCTTTCATGTACCGCAGTAAACATGCACTAACACACACATATTCATGTTATTCCTAAGCATGTACATTCCCTGTACATTTACATACACATACACTAAACATGTACCCTCTCCAGGAGCACACATACTCCAAATGCACACCCCTGCATCTACACACCTCACTCACAGGTGTGGTCTTCATACACACACACACATGCATATGCACATACATACATTTGCACACGAACACACACATACACCTGTATACACATACATTCACATGCACACACATACACATACGCACACACACATACACACAAACACATGTCCTACAGAACCTGCTCAGACCCCCTGGGACTCTCTGACTATGAGCAGCATCTCTAAAATCTGCTTCCAACCTCTGAGACTGGCCCACGGAGGCCTCACGGCACTGGCTGATGCGTCCCAGGGGACCCAGTGGCTGGGGCCCACAGCCTCCCCCC